TTGCGACCGGGTTGGGCGATCATGAGTAAGGTCGTAGCGAGCCAAGTCGCTGGGATTCGTGTACTCATAGCCCTCGCCCCCATAAGCCACATTTGTACCGCTGTGGCGTGGTGTATTGGAATATATGGCTGGCGTACGACTACGGTACGTATCATGCCTCGCGCTGAGGTTGTCGCCGGTCCGAAGGTGAGCAAACTCATCGTGAGTGCCGTATGAGTTGCCACGAGCGTGACTTCGGGAACGTATGGAAGAGGCAGGTTGCGTGTAAAATGAAGAATCGCTTGTTCGGTAGTCGTCGCGAGTCGGGCTGCTGTGTCTACCACCGGAAGAGTGTGAGGGTTGATGGCCTTGCGGTCTCTGTGTTGTGGTGACGATGACAGGTCGAGGACTCGACGAATCAAGAGTTGAGGAGCGGCGGGAACGACTGGCTTCTCGCAAGTTAGGGCCGCGGGCCAGGGGATCTTTCGAGACGGCGTAGTGTGTGGTGGTAGTTGGGCTCGCGGCGGGGCGATGGCGATTCGAAGTTCCGGTGCTGTATCGGGTCGACGTTGGCATGACATGAATATCACCGCCATACATTGAACTATATCCTATACTGCTGGGCAGAGAGGCTCTTGCAGGGTTGAAAGTTGGCGAGCGTGGCCGCGCGTGGCCATAATGAGCAGTGTTTGGATAGCGGGGTTCCATGATGACGTCGAGAGCCAAAGTGTTTCTGGCTCGTGGTGCTTCGGGTTGAAAGCAATCGTCGGAGCGAATCTTCGACAGCAGGCGATGCTACAGACCGAGACGAACTCTGCGGCCGCGCCAGCGTTGTATTAATTTTGAGACGGTTTGCGGGTTTTCGAGGCGGTATCGATCCACGTGAGGCTCGGTGAGTCGTTATGGTTTGGTAGCAGGCCACACTTTGGCTGCCTTACCGGGAAAGAAATCAGTGGTACGTAAAGATGGCTGTGGAATCAGTGAGGTAAGAGGGGTCAAATGGCGGGGGTTTGAGTCAGGCCTTGGCCAACTGATCGGGTCCAACAAATGTGTGCTCGGGAGGGTGGGGAACTGCAGTTTTACTGGGGTCGGGTACGAGTGGTGCTGGTGTCAGCTCCTCCACTCATCGGCAGATTGTTAAGAATCCAGAAGGGCGCCACCGAGGATGCCACCTTGCATGCCTGGCTGATACTTGGTCAGCAACGTGAGGTCAATATTGTCCTGGAAAAGACCCATTCATTATACCTTAATCTGGTGGATAACGGGTCGAAGCGAGAGGGCAAGCCGTCGATCAGGCAAAGAACAGGGAAACGATATGTGTAGTGAGGGCTTCTCAGGTTGATGTGGTATCAATAGCGGGGCCACGGGGTGGTGATGACAGGGACAATGACCGGCTCCCGCGGCGTGTCTTTGGCAATGACCAACGGGACTTAAACGGCGGAAAATAGGATGACAAGTCCGGATAGCAACGGGCCGGGTTTCCAGGACGATTTGGGGTGAATGTTGTCAACGTCGTCCCGAGGCGAACGGCGTGCTTGGTAGACGGATGCGGCTGGTATCGATAGGCGGCCTGGAATTGTGGCTCGTGTCAGACCTCCACGTTCACCATTGGGCTCAGTTCGGTGACTGTAGGGTGGTATTGCGATGCGGCCTCTAGAAACGGCCACACCGTTTTGAGTAGCGGCCCGGCTATCGGCTGGCCCTGTGTGCTTGTGGATATATGCAATGCGTCTGCAGCCAAGAGAGATGACGCGTGCGATTTGCGTGATGGAGATGACCACGGAGAAGCAGCGTGGTTCGGTTGACTGGGTTCGTGTCCAACAAAAGTAAAACGATACCGACAAGGCCCGGATCAGTATGAGCTCAGAAAACGCGAGCGGAGAGGCAGACGAAGAGAAATGTGAAATGTGGCAGAATTAGAGACGCTGGGTATTCGGGGGGGATGACGTGACACTGGGCCTGGTTGTTTGGCAAAGATGGTAGCACGGGGGGATCGACTGCCGTAGGGTCGGGGAGGCCGGGAATGGTCGATTGGGTTCAATATGTACCCAGGATCGCAAAGCGCGGCTTGTTCGCGCCCAGCTATGGTGGGAAAATTGAGCAAAGGCTGTGCGACCAGCAGTTCAGTCCGGGCCGGTTGTTTTATGCAGGGTGATGAGGACTGTGTGGTATCGGCCAGGTGGTTGTAAATGTTGCCGTCGCGTGATTTAGTGCGGTGCTACACAGCGAAACCCGGCGTCTGTAGCGGGGAAGCGAGACAGCTGCCTGCTGTTGCTGCTGTGGAAGCAGCGGGGTTTCCAGGTATCAGTGAAGCGTCGAAGCACTGCTCGTGGGTGGCTACTACAACGGGTTGTGTAGGTAGGCGAGCAGGATTAGGGAGTGGCCATCCAGCGGCTCGATGCAACAACGCTTCGGTCAACACAGTGACGTCTGTCCCGAGCTCCAGATGTCTGTTTCTTTCTGATCCCACCAGCGTGGTGGCTCAGGATGCCAAGATGTGCTTTCTCTGGTTGATGATGATGAAAGATCGAATTCCAGGGTGCCAAGGCGGACCGATGATGCCCTCCCAGGATACGCTGGCTGAGTTTATACCGTGACGGAGGTGCCTTCGTTCTCGTATCGGTTCGTAACCGAGACGGGCTGCCTCTGGATCTTCGATTAGCCCCCCCGACGTTCGGATCGAGCTTCTTGAATGCTGGGATGCTGATCTGTCTTGCTAACGAGACAGATTAGATGTGGAAAAGAATCCAGTTATTGCATGCCGATGAAATGAGACAGAGTATCAGGCGTGTGGCGTTGTTTCTGAATTATCGAGCTTCTTGACGCGCTCCAGAACCGTCGAGCCGCAGAGTTGAATGCTGTAGAACGCTTCGAGTCCAGGATTGAAGTTCTGGTTGTGGTCGAGGTTGAGGCAGGGCAGATGGAAGGAGTGACGAGGCCGGTGGTCACTTCCCATGTGAGATGAAGTGGAAAGGAAGTTCAACACCTGCCATTAAAGAGCGGTCACGACCCTTTTCTTCGTCCTTCGTCTGGTTCACCAGCTTCGCATCATCACAACCCGCTAATGCGAGCAAGGGTTCATGCCCATGCATGCTCTGTGAATCAATTACATTGCCATCTTCTTCAGTTGCCTGCCCTCGGAACCCACAGTGGCACGACGCCCTGTCAACCTGTCTCCCTGGTGTCCGAACAAACCCACCTAGCTACCACATCATGGCATCCCTTTCCATGCCGATTCGATCGAGAGGCCAGGCCGAACCTGGGCGCTTCGAAGCCATTCCCAGCCCAGCTGGATGCATCGCGAACCAGGTCATGCTAATGGTCTTCGCGGCCCAGGGCCACGGCCGTCAAGCGCCTGACAAGCACCAGCCTTGGGCTGCAACGAGCACCCCATTTCGCAACCCAACGAAAACCCCACCCCCCTGTTACATGTCACACAGGAACGGTCGATATCAGCCCAAGCATTGGTCGTCGTCAGCGTTGGCCGAAGGAGATCTCTGCAACAGAGTCCATTCGACTTGGTGCGTGAGATCCACGGAGGTGGCCTCGGAAAGATGCAGCTAGGCAAGTCAGGTCAGGCAACACAGTTCACGAATGGTCCAGAACCACAGTGCCCGACGATTTCCAATTATCGACGTTATACGTACGACATTCGCTCGTGATCCACAACTGCCGCCAAATTCGCCGTCGACCCTCAAAGTTTCACGGCATAGCCTCGAGCAGATCTCCCTGCCCAAGATTGCATGTATGGGCATGGAGAACAAACACCGCACGTTCGAGCCCGAAGACGCCCCTCACCGCTCCTCGCCGTCACAGCCAGCTGGCCACCCTTGAGTGTAACGGCAACGATCAGGCGGCGCGTCCAAGGAGACAGCTCCGTCCCGTCGACTGTCTGGTAAGCGATCGACGAACAGGCACCACATCTCGTGCCAGATGGAGGGCTGGGGACCATAACGAGCCGACTGACTTTCAAGATACCTGATTACCCTGCCGCCACGTTGCGCTGTCGCCTATGGCCTCTTCGCAACCCGGGCCATCCCTCCCACGAACGAAGCCGTCAAAAGCACGTCCCCGCGCTGCCACGGAGACTCTGCGCCCGGCCATGCCCCTGCGTTGCTTCACATTGTCTCCCAATTCCCAATCGTCCGTTGGGCAGGGACGGCCGTGCTTGCCACCGGAGCCCCGCCCGAAGGATCATCCTGGCCTGTTGCTTGAATTGGGGAGATGGCAGAGACCGCCGGGCCCAATATGTTGGCCATCGCATGTCGCTGTCAGGACGAATTATAAACGCCTCATTAGCTCGAGACCGATAGGACTCAGGCGATGAGATGATGAGGTGCGCTCGCCTGCCCACATATCTTGATGTTGTGCGTGAGCCTTTGATGTACCGGGGGCTGCGGAGGGCATTGCGCTTGGCCCACCGTTGCTAGCTACGCTTTGAGGGTTCTTGCCTCTTTGCCTCTCGCTGCTACCCATCGAGACGTCAACGACAGTTGTTGACGATGGTTTTCTGGAAGTTGACTGGGGCTCGTACTAGTGACCCCTGTTCTCGGTTGGCCTGTCAACGACAATAGGAGCAGCTTGCTTGGGTTCCGTCCGATGTTTTGAGAAGTCCAACCTCGAGGCACCTTACCCGGAATATGATGGCTGGACAGAGAGCTTTGAGCTCATTCTTGAATGGCGTCATTCATTCGGATCCAAGCAGGGAACCTCGACTCAAGGCCTTCGTATCGAACTGCTTGAAGATGTAGACATGGACGGTCCTTTACTGTATCAGATCACCGAGGCAGGTCTTCACATGTAGCGGACGACAGACAAACCGCTGTGCGTCTTCAATTCTTCTTATGAGTAGGTATGGTCGGGCCTGGTCCAGTGACGCGACTCAACGACGAGAGCCCTCAAAGAAATCAATTTCAATATCTCATGCTTCATGCTGGCATAGGCTAAAACAAAAACCACGTACGTACTGTCGATAACTTACCACACCAAATCGCAAACTTGCCCCTGAAGCAGGTTGCCCCTCATGCCAAGCTGCCCATGGGATCCCACAGTGGCAACACGATCGGCTCCTGCTTGAGGACGTCCTTTGTTTCTTTGTCAAGGAAGCGGGGATCGATGACGGCCTGGTAGACAAACTCGTCCATCCAGGCGTCGCTCATAACGAACCAGCCCTTGTCGCCGGCGGCCTCGCCCCAGCTGTTTTGGACGCGCCAACGGACGCTGCGGCCCGTCTTGTCATCGATGTGGACGGCCGTCAAGACCATGGCGTGGGTCATCTGTGACTCGCCCGTGCGCAGGCGATCGGCCTTGGACATTGCGAGCAGACTCACATCGAAGCCGACTTCGTAGTCGACGAGGTTGAGATCCATGACACCGGAGCGTGAGGAGCTGAATTTGCCCACATCAGAGCCGAAGAAGATGGGGAGGCCGGCGCGGAGCTGGCGCACGCAGGCTGCCTTGAGGGCGGAAATAGAGACGTTGACGTAGGTGACTGGGCGGCCGCCCACAATGTTGCCGAGGCGGTCGACGGTCAAGAGGGTCAAGGGATCGTGACGCGGGTCGTGTACGAGCGAGACCATGCCTGCAATGGTGGCGCTCGAGACGCGGCACTGACTCGAGGAGATGTCGCGGGCAAAGGCGCGCGGGGTCGATGTCAGCTCATGGGCCTTGCCGTCCTTGTCTTCGTAAGTCCAAACGAAGGCCTCGTGCGGGTGTGGCGGCGCGCCAAGTGTCAGGGTCAAGACTCCCAGGATGGACTGGAGCATCTTGGACTTGGCGTCCTTGACGCTTTGAGCAGTAGCGCTCTGCTCGTTGACAAGAGAGCGGAGGGTGAGGGCATACTCGCGCAACTTTGTCTTGAGCACGGAGTTGAGGACACCCGAGTTCTGGGCATTCCACGAGTCCGGGTACAAAGACTGGGGCACGAGGCCATACTTGTCGACGAGGTTGTAGACCATGTCCCACTGCCCGCCATCTGAAATGAGGTCACCGAGAAGGTGCTGCACGAGTCGAGAGTCGAGGTCATGATCGCCAGCCGTGGCAATGGCCTGCTCGAGGAACCAGTTGGCCTTCTCGAGCTTGTCCCAGAAAAAAAGGTAGGACTGCGAGAGTTCGAAGCCCGCAAGGTTGTAGCGGCGGGCGAGGGCAACACGGAAAACATTCGTGGAGGCGAAGAGCCAACAGCGGCCGGAAGAGCGCTGGTTTGTTATCGGCGTTCCCTCGAGGGGGATGCGGACGTTGAATATTTGAGGGTCAGACAGCGTGGCGGGTGTAGACGTCAGGACGGTACGCGGGTCGGCATTGCTGAGGGCAGAAAGGGCCAACCTGGAGAAGAATTAGTCGGTGCATGGGAAAAGAATGAGCGAAAGAAGGAAGACGTGTCACGACAGTAAGCATTGCGAAGCGACATACCTGTTCTTGGGGTCCTTGAGAAAGGTGCTCTGCCAGTCTTCTACAAGCTTGACTGAGATACCCTCTGGTTCGCGATGGATAAGTCTGGAAAGAGCCTGCTTCTCGCTCTGCGACTCATCTTTTGATACATGGACAAAGTCGTTGGATGTGCTGCGGACCTGAAGACCTTCGAGGCGATCGACAAGGGCCTTATCGGCAGCGTCATGCGTCGAGAGTTGGGCTCCCATCGTAGGTTTCGTCTTGGTCTTTCGAACACGCAGCAAATTGACAGTGGTACAGGTCAGTCTTCAACCAAAACACACGCTCTCGAACGGCATGGACCCGATGACAGGAATCAACATCAGTTCAAGAGGGGGAGGCTGGGTGAGATCAAGGCAAGGAGCTCTTATCAGTCGTGAGGGGGAGGAGCACCTGAGCTCCTTAGTCTCCGCGCTAAACGAAGCAGGTGAGGTGAGACAGGGATCAGCGCCTGCGGCTGGCCATCCAGGTGCCGCAGGCACCATGCCACGCAAGCCGGCTTTCGTTGCCAGCCATACACCAGTCACATCATGTCACGCCATCGCCCTTCCGGGATTCGTAGATACGGACACCAAGTCAATTACGGACATGTACACTAATGCCTAACACCAGAGACGCGGCGGTCCCTGGTGCCGAGGTTATCCAATCTTCAAAAAGTCCCAATTTGCTACTCCTCAATCCAGCTTCACCCAGATACATACAGCACAGCAAGCATCGAGATGCCGCTTACAGGCGAGAGCCGTGAATCGTCTTCATGTCGACGGCGAGCTCACGGCCGCGGTCGTTGAGAACGAGAACGCGGACGGAGCCACGGCCGGACTCGAAGGCAGTGTTGAGGCGGGACCAGAGGTTGGACTGGTCAATGACGGGGAGGTCAGGCTTGACGTCACCAGTCTCGGTCATGGCGACGATGCGGCCATCGTGCATGTCAAGGACACGGTACTGCTTGAAGACGGGGCCGAGCATGGTCTGGACGACGACGCTGGGCTCAGGGTTGGAGATGTACGACGACTCCTCGTGCAGCTGCTTGGTGAAGAGGTCGACACCGAGGTAGCGGTACTGGCCGGTGGCAGCCGAGGTCGAGATGCGGATCACCTGGCAGGGGCGGCCCTGAAGCATCAGGAAGTCGCCCATGCGGATGTGGTTGCAGGGAATCGACACCGTGTTGGGCAGGCAGGGGCCCTGGTTGCCGCCGCTGGGGCGGGGACGGGAAGGCTGGCGGACATCGTTGTCGGCGTGGACGTGCTCATCACGGCCTTTGGGTTGGACGAGTCGGTCAGCGCACCTGTACAGGCCCTGACGGAAGGAGTGATAGTGGCCTGGATAGATAGGAAAATAACAAACGCAACTCAGCTGGAGTGCTTATGGGGAAGGATAGGGGACTTGCGGGCCAGGGCAGGACGGTAAGAAAGCAGGGGAGGGGGACTAGGTGAGAAAGTTTCAGCGGATCAACAGGGGCTATTGGCTTACCATCGTCATCGTAGTAACCCATCTTGGCTTTGGTTTCGCGGATGCGGCGAGCAGCTCCTTCGACGGTGTACTTAACCTTCTCGCGGGCGGTCTCGCGGAAGCTGGGGCGGTGAGTACGGGCGGGTTCGACCGTGTACTCGGCGTTGATGATGCGGCCGGGGCGGTCGCAGTTGTTTACTTCCTCACGGGTGTTGTGGGGCTGGCAACGTTCACGGTACTCGCGTTCGATGCAGTCGAGAGGGGTATCGTAGTGCTGGTGCGTACGGTCGATCTCAACGTAGCTCTCAGAGAAGTCGTGGCGCTGAGGACTGATGATGCAATGCGTCAGTCTGTGGAGATCCCAATCGTTGATGAATGGAGATGGTGAATTGGGTTTGATGGATGAAGAGGGTGTAGGTGAAGTGATGTAAGGTAGCTAAAGGTGATGAAGCTCCAGCTCGATGGGAAATTCTTCTTCACCGATTGTTTTGTCACTCGGACAACTGGGCTAGTAGGGGGTAACGAGGTAGGGGTGGTTGGTTGGGTTTGTTTTGGGTCCGGGGTGTGTCTGGCCAGGCGTCGTGGGTGATCCACCAGTTGCAAACCGAAGAAGCAAGCAATTTCGCCAGCACACCCCACGGACCGCCCAAGCCACCCGCCCACCGCTGAGGGGAGAAGATGAAGGGGTTGCGTGGAAATACGAGCTGAAGCGCCTGTTGGTTCTCTCTGCCCACTTTGTGCCCGCAGTGGCCGCAAACAGGGTGGGAGAGTCCCGTTGTCCGGTTGACCACGGGGGAAGGGGAGGTGAAGCGAAAAAAGAGCCATGTACAATAGAAACAGAATGAATGTTTGTTGTCTTGGTACTTACCGGTGCTCCTCGTGGTAGCGAGTCTCCTGGTGCTGAACGCCCGGACGGTGGAAGTGCTCCTCGATGCGGACCTCTTCGGTGTAGCGCTGAGGCTGTTGCTGCTGCTGTTGCTGCTGCTGCTCACGACGAGGCGGGAGCTGGGCGGTCGCAGTGAAGGACGAGTATTGCTGAGCCTCCTCCCGTCCGGGGGCTTGCGGCTGCTGCTGGGTCGGGGGGAGCTGGATCTCGAGCTCCTGGTGAGTCTCGGTGGTGGTGGTAGTCTGGGTCTCGCCTTCCTTGTAGGTGGAAGGGAAGATGCTGAAGGGGACGGGGACGCGGGCTTCAAAGTCCAGGGTGGCGGCTCTGGAGCGCAACGAAGAACAATTCCTCTTTCAGCGACCTTCCGATGCTCTGTGGCACGAAAGGATCAGGGCCAAAAGAAGAAGTAGTTCCTCTTGCTTTGTTTCCTGGAAAACAAAGTAGAAGGGGAAAGGGCGGGAAGAAGCCGGGCTTGATGGCACCACGCGCTTCTTGTACTGGCTTTCACACTTCTGCTCTGTAGAGGCGGGAAACGGTTGGTTGGAGGCTGCGAGGCGAGGCGGTCTGGTGTGTCTGGCTTGAGATCGATGAGGGGAGGGGAGGGGGAGAGAGGAGGAGGATGGGAGCTGCGAGACTGGCGACGCGGATTGGGTTTTGTGGACGGGGCTCTGCACTGTTGCGTGGCAGGAGGTTGCCGCGGCAGGCTGTGCGTCGAACACAGAGCGATCAACAAGGAGTCGAGCCTGAGAACAGGTTGATCAGGGGGTTGGTCCCCGGCCTTCTGTGAGCTCAGCTGGGACATCTGGGCGGATGGGGTGCTGTGGTCCTGTCGATTTGTTTACTCGACCTTGAACGGGGATAGCGTTGTGCGATGCAGGTCCCCCCTGACTGAGCCCACTCACCCTCCATCTCGCCTGTCCGCTTCCGTTTCCGCTTCGTAAAGACCCCGTTCTTCTGCAGTAGCCCAGCGCGTGCAGGACGCGTCGAGGTTCTTGGCTCCTTCTTGCTTGTGAAAGTTGGCTCGGCGTTGATTTGATCTGTCGTTGTAGAAGTGCCCCAGCTTCATTTCCCCTTCTTCCCGTGATCGGGCCTCGGTTGCTGAAGATGGCCAGCGCGCTCTGCTCGGATCCTTCCTCGACTGATTTCCGGGGGCTTATGGTCCAGACAAGCGCGTTCGTGAATTGAATCTCATCCTTTGTCTGTTGCCCCCGCCCGCCCGCGCTGTTTCTCTCTCTTTCTCTCTTATCCCATGCGCGTGGCACCCAGGACAATCAGTGGCTGGGTGTAGCATGCTTGGGGGGCCACTCATCTCTCGCCAACCAGCGGCCAGTGAGGAGCTCGGACTCACGCCACGGGTGCCGTGCACAAGCTGAAGCTTCGTGTTATGCACGCCTCGGCGAAGCATAAAACATGCGTAGATCAGCGGCCGAGTTGCCCAGTGACCAACGACGAACGTCGACCAGCAAAAACCAGGCCGCCATGCAGGCTACTGCATCTTGAGGTGGCCGAACTGGGGAGTGCCGATCAGCAGAGCCCCAACCTCCTCGCTGCACGATACTGCAGACGAAGGGGCCATTCGGGCGGCTGGGCTCCTCTACTGGCGGTCGTGTGAGGACTCGATTGGCGGTCAGCTAAGCCATGACTTGGATGTCCAGGTTGGGGAAGCACAAACCGTTCCGGCCTGACCGAATCAGAGTGTGATTTGCTTGCTTCTTTTTTGCTCACGGAGACTTGTCGCCTTCCATCGTGGGTATCATATGTCAGAGAAGTGGAGAGCTTACTGACACGGGAGCGAAATCGTAGGGCGTGCGATTGGGCGGTCGGGATTGTCTAGTGAGAAGTGGTGTTGGGCTGGAGCTGGGGCGACGCGAACGTAGGGCGCCCGATGGGAGATGTTGTGAAGATACCGCTTCGTTGCGTACCGTACATTCAAGGTGCGTTATGATGCGTGCCCTGTGATCAATTGGACGACCCTGAATTAGCCCAACTGGATTGGAAGCATATTTCGTCCTTGGAAGGGGGGAAAGGAGCAGGTCACAGCTGGTGAAGAAAAGGTCCTGTCCCTGGACATCGATGGTCTTTTAGTACAGCTCGCTTGCTGGTAACGGCAGCTACGTTCAACAATGTGACGCGCCTCTTACCCCACCTCGCCTCATGCCAAATCGTTTGGCATGTAAATGGTACCACTTGCCACCAGCAGAATTCCGACGACTCGAAGGAAGGGAGGAGTGAGCTTCATCCCCCTTTCCACCTGCCCAGTTGGTCATTATTGGGTCGTTCTTACTCACGGCTCAGCACATCACGTGCTCCGCTCGTGGAAGCCCATTCCGCGGGAAGAGCCATCTCATCCTTCTTCATCACTAGCGAGACAACCTCCTGAGAGCGTCACACGAAGCTCCCTTCAGCGAAGACTCTAGTCCACGACTAAGATATGTTGAACGCCACTGAGACAAGGGTCCTGGTGGAAGGCAACGACGTGATCGTCCGCTGGGTTCTCCTCGGGTGATTTGGATATGACTTCTGAATTCCGAACGCTTTATTGCCAAGCTTACTTCGCATGCCATGCTACCTTCCAGAGCTGCATACCAGCATAACCCGAACAACCAGGACCTGAAAATCCGAAACGCAAACGCTAGCAACCGGTCTATCGACAAAGGAGAAGAAATCAAAAAAGTGGACGAAGCCATTTACAAAAATCCCGTGACCCCTGCGCCATGCACCACGCATTCCCCGACTATATCCACCGTTGGCATGCTTGAGGCGATGTCACACGTGCCGAAAAGCTTGGATTAAGCTTGGGCTATTCATCTCTGGATGCTGTGAAGCAATTCTCTATTTTGCCTGGTTGCTTGGGTATTGCTGGTTGTTGTAATATGTCGGGTTGGCCTCGTACGAAGGGCTAGTCTCATATTGCGGGCTGCTGTCGTACTGAGGGTTGCTGTGCTGCCTGTGGGTCTTGTGCTGATGCGAGGAGCTCTTGTGCTGATGCGAAGAGCTCTTACGGTGTGATGGGCTCTTTGGGTGCTGGTTGCTGTTGCTGCGCGAATGGCTGTTGCGATGCGACTGACGGCTGTTGCGCTGCACAGGGTTGCTCTGGAATGGCACGCCGCTCTCGCTTCCGCCTCGCAGGGAAACGTCGTCACGGCGGACGCCGTTGGCGCGGAAGAAGCGGAAGTCCAGGACGGAGATGACGGCTACCCATGACGAAAGGATGCTGTGCAGAGGAAACCGCCACGGTTAGCGGCAGCTCGAGAAGATCCTACAGACGAGCGAGGCGGGGCGCAACCTACGAAATGACAATCGCAACACCAAAGACGATCCAGTTCAAGATACAGCCGGTTCCCTCACATCTCTGGAGGTTTCCTTGCATGACAAGGAAGATAACAGCACCCCAGAAAACGATCTCGAGGCAGTTGAGAATGGCAAAAGCCTTGAGGCTCGACCACCTTCGGAAACGCGCAATATGTTCCGTGGCCAGCTGATAGAAGATGATAATCAAGGATTTGGCGCCCTATGATGTCGCGCTGTCAGTTCATAGTCCGCCTCTCCCGATAAGTCGGTGCCAGCATACCATGCCAAGGGCTATTGTGTTGCCCCTGCCCCGGGGCTGGTTTTTCATGAAGACACGCGCGCCTGCAAGACCCAGGACAATATGGATGAGGACAAGCTGGACGATGTGAAGGCGAAACTTGTGCCGGCTGGCGAAGAAGCCGCTGTTGGCGAAAGAGGCCATGATATCTTCGGGGTCGAACCGTACGTCTTGCAGAGAAGGGAAGTTGTCGAGTCAATCAATGGCGGAGCAGTCTGGCTACCGAGAGAGTGAGGCAAGGACGGGGAGGCGATACGGAAAGGTAGGAATTAGGTACTTGATGTAAGTTGATGTTGATGATGGATGTTTGGCATGCTGACACTAGGAGTCTTTCTTCCTCCACAACTTGGGCATGTCGTGGTTTTATCATCTTCAGGGGAGGTCAAGGCAATCCACCCCAGACTAACTCCCTTGCTCAGATAATTCAACTCAATCTACGCAATCTTCACCAACAGAAAGTGCCTACCCGATGCACTGGAACGATATTCGAGAAGCACACTATCATGCCTTACGACGAGCCCTCGGTTTCGCTTTGGGCGTTGATTTGCCGCGGGCGAGACAGTGGACCCGAATGGATTAGGTGAGCTCCAGGATGAGCGTCTGCCCGTTACCTATTGGGAGGCTAAAAGAGCCGCAGCATACAAGCTTGAATCCAAATCAGGTTAAGGGTCCCTTTGGCGGAGCTGGCATAACGACCCCAAGATGCCACTGATGGACTAACTGTCTCGTTGGGTTGCGTAACCCAGCTAAGGTTTTGGGGGTCCAGGTAGGCCTAGACACGGCAGACAGCCCTTGTCTCACTCAGTGCTGTCACTCATCTCGTCGTCCACAACTGCTCATTCCAGGAACCTTGTTCGGGTTGTAAAGTCGACCCGGCAAAACTCCACTCCGCGCGATGAGGTGTCGGTCCCTGGAACCTCTCCAAGTCTGCCGGCGACTCTGCCTTGCATTTGATAGCCGTCGCTAGAACAAGGATTCAAGAACATGTTACCTCAGACGTCAGACCACAGACGGTGCACCGCAGACTGCAAATGCCTGACGCCCGTCAGGCCAGAGCTCACACTCTCCCTACCTCAGCCATTGGAATACAGTAGAGCACGGTCCGGCAGAATCCGTGTCCCTGTTCCAGCACATCGCCGGAAGCGCCTACGTACCTTGCCATGACTCGTGTCCTCACGCAAGGCGGACTTGCTGGCTTGCTCTCTAGTTTCAAGGCACATACTTCTTTGCTGGCTCTCGCCCTCGTCTTTGCCCTTGTCCTCGCTTTCGCCCTGACAGGGCGCCAATCCTCTTCAAAAGCCTTTCTTCGCACCCTTTGGCCTGGTAGCCGAATGCATGCACGCCGCCGACAAGCCGGATGATCCGATCGGTCTTTTCGCTCGAGCTGAACAACGAGACGCTCAATCATCCTCAGGACAAGGATCGCCTGCGCGACCGGGCGTCAACCCGTCTGTGACACACGACACTGTGCGGCGCGTCCTGATTCATTTACCCCTCCAGATATAACCCTGTGGCAGAAGGCGATCGACCGCCCAGACTGATCCACCCATTTCTTCGGCACTTGGGTTCGCGGCGTGCCGTCTCGTCCTCCACCCAACTCACCCAACCCCAACCATTCATATCCATCACTCGCCCCCTTCCCCCACACTCGCTTTCGCTTTCCGCAGCCGCTATCCGCAGCCTTGCCACGTCCACATCGACCTCGTTTTGAGTGAGGCACAGCGATTCCGTCACTGTAGCTGAGCCACCCGCAAACTCGGAACGCCTTTCAAGATCCAGATCCAGATCATCGTGCGGCTCAGCGTTTTCGGTCTCGGTCTCGCAGTTAAGGGCCCGCGATTCACCGTTTCCTTCCCGGCTTACACGGTGTCCAGCCGTGTCCAGACCCGTGGCCATGCCGCCGCGTCTGGGTTACAAGAAGTCTCGCGGTGGCTGTGCCCGATGCAAGCGCCGCCGTGTCAAAGTATGCAGCACCTTTCCTCTTCTCCGACCGGGTGGCCGGCCGGGCTGGGCATGGGCATGCACGCGGTGTCATGCAGCGCGCTGAGATGTGCCCTGCCCTCTCCAAATGCCGCCGGCGCCGCCATCATCGTGTGCTACGTTTGCTGTGCGAATTGATTCACTAACTTTGGTTCAGTGCGACGAGAAGAGGCCTTGCACCGCGTGCGTGAGGCATGGCACCGAGTGTAGCCTTGTCCAGGGACCGCCGTCGG